GGAGCTTTGGCCCAACTCCCCACACCCTGTAAATTCAAGGCAGTGGGCAACCCTCCTTTTCTACTTTACCAAGCATTATCATCTTTTCTAGTAAGCCATTTCTTCTTAAGATATGGTCACCATGATAGCCTCCATTTAGTCATCTTGGCCTCTATGGAGAGTTCAGGCCTAATTTCTTCTAGGACCCATTTATTTGCCTTTTAGCCACCCACAGTATCCACGGAAATCTTCTCCAACACCACATCTCAAATGAGTTGATTCCCCCCCCCCCCTTTCTGCCTGTTTCACTGTCCAGGTTTCACAGTCTTACATAGAAATTGGTAATGCAGTGGCATGGGCAATCCTGACTTTTGTATATCATTGAAAGTTTTATCCAATTCCTTTATAGATGCCTTTTAAAGTCCTACCTTTCTATATTTCATTCTCTATTCTTATTAATGAAAGAACCAAGGCATCTTATCCAGAATTAGTGAACACAACCTGATCCACCAATGGCATGTTTTTGCTATATAAATGTCTTAATTAGATACTTGGAAATTATGTAATTTTTTTTGTTTTCTTAACTATAGACTCTAAGAAACACATTGATTGCATAGATCATGACAAACTATGGATTATTGTAAAGGAAATGAATATATTTCCCTATGAGGAGCGGCTTAGGGAACTGGGAATGTTTAGCCTGAAGAAGAGAAGGCTGAGAGGAGATATGATAGCCATGTATAAATATGTGAGAGGAAGCCACAGGGAGGAGGGAGCAAGCTTGTTTTCTGCTTCCTTGGAGACTAGGACGCGGAACAATGGCTTCAAACTACAAGAAAGGAGATTCCATCTGAACATGAGGAAGAACTTCCTGACTGTGAGAGCCGTTCAGCAGTGGAACTCCCTGCCGCTGAGTGTGGTGGAGGCTCCTTCTTTGGAAGCTTTTAAACAGAGGCTGGATGGCCATCTGTCAGGGGTGATTTGAATGCAATATTCCTGCTTCTTGGCAGGGGGTTGGACTGGATGGCCCATGAGGTCTCTTCCAACTCTTTGATTCTATGATTCTATGATTCTATATCACAATATTTGATTATCCTGACCTTCAACCTGTACACAGGACAAGAAGCCACTGTTAGGACAGAACACGGCAAAACAGAATGGTTTGCAATTGGCAGTGGCATTATACAAGGCTACATTTTATCATCCTATGTTTTTAACTCATATGCTGAATGTATCATGGGCAAAATGGGATCAGACTCTGAGGAAAGAGGTGTGAAAACTGGAGGAAGGAACATCACACCATACCATTAGCAGAAAATGGCAAAGACATGAAATGATAACTGAAGAAACTCAAGGAAAAAAGTGCAAAGGCAGATTTCAGTTGAACATTAAGAAAACAAAAATAACAACTTATGTATATGTGATGTTTAATTTGTGCAAAATAGGAGCATTCAGTGAGGGAAAAAAGAAATCAGATTTTCAAACTCCACCACACAAAGCTTTAGACCCTGAAGTGAAAGCATATGCACATTAACTTGGTGTCATTCCTACTGTACAAGTGAGACTCAGTAGGTAAAGGTAAAGGTTGTCCCCAGACATTAACTCCAGTCATGTCTGACTCTGGGGTGTGCTGCTCATCTCTATTTCTAAGCCAAAAAGCCAGCGTTGTCCATAGATGCCTCCAAGGTCATGTGGCCATGCCTGGACTGCATGGAGCACTGTTATCTTCCTGCCAGAGCGGTACCTATTGATCTACTCACATTTGCATGTTTTCAAACTGCTAGGTTGGCAGAAGCTGGGTCTAACAGCAGAAACTCATGCTGCTCCCCGGATTCAAACCTGCAACCTTTTGGTCAACAAGCTCAACAACTCAGCGGTTTAACCCACTGCATCACCGGGGGCTCCTGAGACTCAGTAACAGGGACTCAAATCAGCTTTGTTGGCCAAATTAGGTTTGGTTCAAGCACAAAAAATGGGAGGAATCCTTTTATTCAAAATAGACTGCACTCAGTATAAATAGAGACTTCACAGGTGAAGACACAGAAGTCTCTGAAGTGATTTAGGTCTAATAGCAAAATAATGGGAAATGATTAGAAATGTTTAAATTGACCCTCTGTTTCTAGACAGCACCATTGCCAACATCTGTGATTATAGTAATAGTGGTATTCCTCGCTAGGTGGCAACATTGCACTATATAAGTATATTGTTGAAAGGCACACAAGGCATTTCTGAGGGCAGAGTGAGGAAATTAAGTATGATTCTCAGAGAAGGACCTTCAAGTTTCATGGTGGGTAAGAAAGATAAAAGGGTGCAGTGGCAGAAGGGGTCCCTAGATGAATCAGTTTGTGTATGGAAAAGAAGTCTCAATTGAAAGTAATTGCATAGAAAAGGAGGTATTTTTTGTAGCTAATTGAACAACGCATAGTAAACAAACCCAAACTCAGGACAGCTTCTGCCTTGGATAAATTCTGTAGAGAAGTATGAAGCAGAGTATATCCAGTCTGAAGTGCTGACATTTGAATAGCACCCAACAAGCATCCCTGTGTGACAAATATAAACTGGTTTAAAATGGTCAGGTTCCCCTCCCCTATGGAATTCAGCCCTTGGGTCTCTCAAAAGCATTTTTCGCATTCTAGTAGATCCTGATAGGAAACAATTACAATTCCAATTCAAGTTAGAACGAAAGTGGTGCATTATAAAATACATCAAAAATGGAAAACAAATAAAATAAACCTGCAGTAATCTTTTTAAAAGATTACTGAACATAACTTAGAACTTTTGCATTTTGGAAAGTGTGGATTCTTTGCAAACAAAGAACAATGGGAAGAAAAAAAATCTCATAAAAATATGTTTCTGTGGCCATGAAAGGTAGCAAAGTAAAGGGAGAATTGGCAGGTGCAGCAGGAAGCTTTTCTGGGGGACATTGATGCTTGATTTTTTAAACAACAACAACAACAACAATGTTTTCCACTAAATGCAGTTAAGTCACAGAATTTCTCATCTGTTCAGGATTTGGCAATGCTATACATAGTGATTACAGCAAGTTTCTATTGGAGAGCATGTTTTAAAATGAACAGTAGTGAGCTCAACAGAGAGCTGAGCATTCAATGCTTTTATGTAGCTTTAAAGCAAATGGAAGCATTGTTCAGGTTTGCAAGGATCTGAGTGCTATGATCCTAGACTGGAAAATATCATTAGAACTTTTCCAGCCCTCGCTTATGCTTTCTCATGGGATGGTCTGAGACCTAACAGGGTAACTATTGTATTCCCCATCCACTCCTAATCACTGATTCATCTATGTTCACAATTGCATCACATTGTTTTAATAGGTATTACCAGTTCTAGTCTTAACTAGAGTAAATTGGGAAAATATATAATGGATTAATTGGCAAAGAAATAGGGCTGAAGCTGTTGGAAAAGGTGTGGGGACCTAGGGATTCTGACAGATTTTGATTGGGAAAGGGTTCAAACTTCCAAGAAAGTAAAATAAGGTGGTCACCCTTTTAGTCCACTAACCGAGAACTGGATCAGTTGAATCCCCTTATCAGAGACGCCTCTATGATCTGCAATGTTTAATACCTCACTCCAAAGCTCTAGGAGAGCAGTGAGTTAATATTACTTAACATTTCTTTTAAGTGGAAGATACAAGTATCTTGTCGTGCCCCTACTCCCAATTTAACTATTTATTAGGATCTCCAAGCAATTACTTGTTATTAAGTTTCTGAGACCAAAGGATCAATTAAGTTTGTAAGACAAACAACAGTTCAAAATATTTGAGAAGTTATTACAGCAGTGGTTCTCAACCAGTGGGTCCCCAGGTGTTTTGGCCTACAACTCCCAGAAATCCTAGCCAGTTTACCAGCTGTTAGGATTTCTGGGAGTCGAAGGCCAAAAACATAATATTACATAATATTAACACATGGGCTGAGAACATACCCTCCAATATTTCACAGATGAAAACCAGGACACGTGTCCAAGTAAGATCAGAGTGCCATCAAGATGGCATAAGTTATGAAGGAGGAGCACATATAAGTTAGAGAGGCTTACAGCAGTTAACTTCTGCCTGAATCTACAGGGAAGAGAACAATTCTGCCTCCTCTTCTTGTTTCCTCCTGCTGAATTTACTAAGTACAAATTTCTTTTGTACTTTGAACTTAGTTTGTAGCAGTTGAAGGAAATCATGTACATAGGCAGGAGAAGAATGAAACAGGCAAAAGCAGAATAGTTGGAAGACATGTGAAAGTCTGATGGTGGTATTTATGGGTACCAAAGAAACATTGCTTACAATGACAGCATTACTTCTTTTGCTGTGTTAATCATTAGATAGTAACGTGATATCTTCACTTTACTATTTAATGACTATTTTTTTTCATTTCAGGAATGACTTGAGAAACTGCAAGTCACTTCTGGTGTGAGAGAATTGGCTGTCAGCAAGGACATTGCCCAGTGAATGCCCAGATGTTTTACTATCCTGTGGGGGGCTTCTCTCATGTTAGAATTACAACAGAACAATGATACCTAACACATGAAATCAATTTCCAAAAACTTAACAGAGTCAGCATGAACCTTTCTCTTCCAGATCCTAAATGAAGCATTGATGACAGAAATCCAGAGTGTTTGCTGCAAGATCACGCAGTGAAGTTGTACACTGTAATTAATTTCAAACCCAGTTCTATTAATGATCCACCTTCAGAGCTCTTTGTTGACAATAATGTGTATGGTTGTCAAAAAGATCATTAAACCCTCCTGATAATGAGCTCGTTTGATATACGCTCTCTATTTAGTAATTATCACTTGATTGATTCATCAGCGGCTTTGGTGTTCCAGCTTCATAAACAGATCATGAATTGCTCCATTTGAGCAATGTAAACATTGGAGAATTCTGTTAAGTGAATTTACAACACATTTCATCAGAGAGATACATAGAAAGAGCCCAATCCAAAGGAAACCTTGTGGATCAAAACATATAAATGTGGTCACTGTGAAAATTAAGCTGAATATTAAAGGTAGTATTTTCTTACCTATTTCTGTCATGGTTATCCCTGGAGCTAATTGCCCATTGCTGCAAGAGCTATAGGTAAACAAGTTTGGTACAGAGGTGAGGTCATAAATAGGTTCCTGCTTGATCTGTTTGATTCCAGTCATGTCCAAGCCAGACTGATCTGGGGAGGGTTGGGCAGAATCCACATTATAATAACCCTCAGACTTCGGCAGGTCAATGACGTGCCCATTTGAGTAAGTGCCACCAGTTTCATTGTTCAGGTTGCTCAACCCGTTGCTGATACTGCTGCTGTAGACACGGGCCAAGGCTTCAGCCTCACCACTCTGCTGCTGCCGCTGCTCCTGCAGTCGCTGTTGGTGCTTCTGTACCTCGGCATACAGACTGTCCCTCTGCTTTTTGGACATTCTTCCAAATTTTACAGCTGCAAGAGATGAAAATGGGCATTACTGCCTTGACTGTTTCCCCTCTGCAGCATTTCACAGATAAAAACTGGTACATCCGAGGCTGAGCAACTGCAGAATGTGGTCACAATACAAAAGTTATTGTTATAAAAGTATAGATTCACTTCCTTCCCTCTAATCTCTATACTGCACTGTGGAATTTAGCCACCACGTTACTTAGCAAAGTGACTTTAAGGTTCTTTTAGTGTATAGTGTATAACCTCTGCATAGTAATTCCTTTGGCCCCTTCCACACAGCTGAATAAAATCCCACATTATCTGCTTTGGAACTGAAATATATGGCAGTGTGGACTCAGTTTAAAGGAGATTTATGTCTTAATAGTCTGGGTTATATGACTATGTGGAAGGGCCCTTTGAAAGTTCATTCAGAACCTACAACTAAGCAAGAATAAAGCAGAAAGAACTCTAATTTGGGGGTGCAAAAGATTGACATCATGCTGATTTCCAGATCCAGCATGAGTCCTGGGTTTTACATTTAAAGCCCACAACATTCTGGGTTCAGAGTATCTCAAGGACAATCTTCTCCTTTCAATTAGCTAGAGAAGCAGCACCAACCAGAATGAGGACCTCCCAGAAGACTATGCTATCTAGCTGACACTCTTGTCCATCAGAAAATGTTTTGCTTCTTCTGTTTAGCTATACTGGGATTTTATATTATTACTACTGGGATTGCTGATTATGTTTTGTTATTGAATGCCAAATAGATATTCAAGTTCCATATATTTAGGACTGTCAATGATTTGGTTCTCAATTGGGTCTCTGCCATTGATTAAAATGCCAAGTGGGCATTCATCTGGTTAAAGCTATTTTATGTTTGTCCCTTTGTACTGTGCTGAGGAAAGCCAGGCTGCAAATGCTTTAAATAATTTTAAAATTCGATGTAAGTATCCCAAACTTGTCTATCTTTGTTTTCCCCTGTGAAGTGTTGGAGAATATGCAGTATGGGAAACTTTGGTTAGCAAATCAAACTGACAGAGACAGTTGAAGCATACGATACCATTACGACAAAGTGGCAACCCGTTGTTCTCTTACATGTACCTTGTGCCTGCTGGTGGGTATTCGACAGACAAAGCCTTGGGGCCTAGGCTGTGATCCTCGCCCCAGTCGCTTACACCAAAGTAAGTTCCAGTGAAATCAATAGGACGTATTTCCAAGTAAATGTGACAACACCCTGCTGTGAATAATGAGCAGGCCTGCTATTTCTTTTTTATCTCTCTGCGCTCACCAAACAGCAAACCAGAGCTCTATAAAAATGTACAGCCTTCAGATTTGTATCCTGTGTGATTTATCAATTTTCCCCAAACCTTTAATCTGTGCACTAACAGGATTAGTACCTTCTGAAGATAACAAGCCCTAAAGCCCTATTATCACAACCTGTCAACGGGCCTGTTATCTTCACACACTTATTTTGCAAAAATGAACGTTACAGGTTACAGTTAAAGCCTAAAGGGAAATAGCAGACTTGAAGGTAAACACTCTATGGGAATGGCATCTCCTCTGAAGAAGCAACACTCACAGATTACTTTACTGGCATACATTTGCAACATATAATCTTAAAGTACTCAATGAGTTCATACCTCCTAAGAGGAAAATTGTACCTCTGCTGGAATAAGTCAAAATCATAATGCAAAGCTACATCTCCATCACTTGCAGCAGGCAAAGCAAATGCACTCACAGTACTATTTCCCAGGTTGATAATCTCCCAAAAGTGTAGTACAGAAATATGAAATCGGTGGGTCTCCAGATATTTCACTATAACTTCCAGGACCTTGAACACTGGCTATGTTAGTTGGGGTTGGTGAGTCGGAATGTCCCCACATCTTTTGCCACAGTTATCATACAGTATGGGAATGTCCAGGCTGAAAAAATAATTCCTTGTGGTTTCAGCCAGTATGTCCAACCTTTGTACAATTTCCCCTCTGGGTTTTCTTTACATCAGTGAACAATTCTCTATGTATTTGTATTTTTTTACATTATAATTATATGATCAACTATCATTGGAAGTTGACTACAAAATCTTGCTAGAGAATCTACAGATGTATAGAGAGAACATCTTTTATTTTAGTTGCATGTGGACAGCAGCAGAAGTGATTGTAAATATAGACATAAACAATATAGTAATCTGCAAATGCTTAGCCTGCAGATTTGGATGGATATTTTTAGGTAAATTTCTTCTTACACATTTTGACTGCATACCCACCAATTGTCCTGATTCAGCAGGGACCGTTCCCATTAATCCTATGTCATTCCACTTTTTCAGATGCTTTTTAAATATCCTGTCTAAGATTTTTCTAGGCCCTCAAGGGAGACTCTATGGTAACATTCAATGGAAGTAGTTCATTTCAATAGGGCTTGCTATTATCTATGTTTTCCTGTTTTATGGTGAGTTCAGTAAAGTATCCCAAGCAGATCCACAAAAACTATCATGAAAATGCATGGCCACTGTCCCTCTGATCTTTTAAACAATTTTGGCCTAGTTGACATTGGTCTGTCTCAACACTAACTAGCAGTGATAAGGAGGAGGGGCAGCTGCAACAGGAGTAGGCAGCTAGGAGACAAAGTACACAGGAAAAGGGGGGATTCTGAGGACGTGGAGGGATCATCAGGTATAAGTGGAGCAGCTATTATGGGTGAATGAGGGGCAGAAAACAGAGAAAGGAGGAAATAGAGGGCTAAGGATGATAAAAGTGCAGCAAGGGAGTGAGACAGAGGCAAAGTATCACCACTTCAATGAGACAGAGAGGCAGGAGGCAGAGAAGGGGTGGGCAGTAATGTGAGTTGGGGTGAGCTTCAGCAAGACTGATGTGTAGCACCAGAGGCAGAAACTTCTCAGTGCAAGCAGTGACACAGTTCTTCAATTCCAGTATCCTTCCTGAAGCTGTTGCCTCATCCTAGCCATCTGTTGGGGATGCTTTGAACATGATTGTCCTGCTTCTTGGCAGGGGGTTGGACTGGATGGCCCACAAGGTCTCTTTCAACTCTATGATTCTATGACTTACGATAAAGATAGTCATTTTTGTGGACTACCATTCACTTCATCAGGGAACTGACATACAAACATTATAAATGCTGACAATTGCCTTAACTGTGGTCAGAGTGGTGCATGCTGCAATGTTTCTGCTATCTTCAAACAGTAGTTTAAGGTAGCAGAAACATCACCCATAATGTAAATAATACACTTGTTGTTATGAACAATTAGATCAAATGAAGGAAATTAAACTAAAATATTGTCTGGTTGAAATAAAATATGTAATTTTTCTTCCTGAAGGAATTATTTTTCCTTGTTTTTTGCTGTATGCACCCACTTTACTCTGCATGTAGGGCTTCTTGTGATATTCTCATAGATATGCATGATTCTGCCACTTATACAAAGACAAAAAAAAATCAAAATAAAGTGGCAAAAATCCTGAAACGATACTATTGAAAACTCCTGGCATCACAAAAATGTAATAAATCCTTCTTCTACACCAGTGGTTCTCAACCTTCCTGATGCCATGACCCCTTAATACAGTTTCTCATGTTGTTATAAATAAAATTATTTTCGTTGCTAATTCATAACTGTAATTTTGCAACTATTATGAATTGTAATGTAAATATGTAATATGCAGGATGTATTTTCATTCACTGGACCAAATTTGGCACAAATACCTGATACACCCAAATTTGAATACTGTGGGGTTGGGGAGTATTGATTTTGTCATTTGGGATTTATAGTTCACCTGCAATCAAAGAGCACTCTGAACTCCACCAACAATGGAATTGAACCAACCTTGGACCACAGAACTCCCATGACCAATAGAAAATACTGGAAGGGTTTGGTGGGCATTGATCTTGAGTTTTGGAGTTGTAGTTCATTTACATCCCGTGAGCACTGTTGACTCAAACAATGATGGATCTGGACCAAACTTGGCATGAATACACAACATGCCCAAATGTGAACACTGTTGAATTTTGAGGAAAATAGACCTTGACATTTGGGAGTTGTGGTTGCTGGGGTTTATATTTCAACTACAATCAAAGAGCATTCTGAACCCTACCAATGATAGAATTGGGCCAAACTTCCCACAGAGAACGCCCATGACCAACTGTGTTTTCTGATGGTTTTTTGAGACCCCTCTGACACCTCTCTCACAACCCCCCAGGGGTCCCGACCCCCAGGTAGAGAAACGCTGTATTAATGTGAGGCAAATTGGGCTAACTGATTTTTCCCCCTGTTATGGGCCAGGATTCCCAGGACCAATTTCCAACCTGATCCAGAGATTGTGGGTCATGTAGACAAGCCCTAGGATTCCAGTGAATCATTATAATTTAAATTGAAATACAGAAATAGAAATAGTGCTGGGATTTATAGTTCTCATACAATCAAAGAGCATTCTGAACCCCACCAATGATAGATTTTGGGCAAACTTCCCACACAGAACCCCCGTGACCAACAAAAAAAAAATACTGCCAGTCTTTGGCAACCCCTCTGAAACCCCCTCATGATCCACCCAGGGGTTCCAACCCCCATTCTCCTCTTTTCTGTACTGCATCAGCAATACACACTGCTGCTTCATGTGGTTTCCTCTTTACTTCCACTGCTTCCATTTAAAAATGTGAGGTAGGTTTGGTTTAGAGGCAGAAATTGGTCTTATTGCACCATGTAAACCAGGATTCACAAAAGTGCAAAATGTGGTGCACACATAGGTCCTCACCACATGGAGATCCTTAAGCCAGGGGACAGTGAGGGAATCCATTGGGCAGTGGGGCAAATCCATCAGGCAGTGGGGAAAACCATAGTTAAGCACCCCACATCAACCACACAACCCCCTTCCCCATCACATAGGGGAAACTATTGCTACCTAGCTTCCCCTTGCGCTATCCTCAGCTTAGTTAATGAGAATACGGGTAGCCACTCGTGTTCTCAGTGCCTCAGTGCTCTGTACTAAGATGCTGACAGGGACAGAGTGAGGACAGGACAA